AAAACTCGAATCTGTAGCGTTTTTTTCGATTTATTTCAGAACTATGTCAAAATAAATCTAGGTGGTGAATGTTTGGATTCGCCCATTCGGTTTTTCACAGGCGCCAGGCACTGTTAATGATGTTGATCGAGCCATTCGCACAAGGTGATGACCGTCGACCGTGTAGCTCGAAGTCCCAACCCGAAGGTTTACGGTTCGAGTCCTAAAAGGTACACACTGCTGACGAGTCCCAAACAGGACGAAAAAGCTGTCTAGTGCTCTTTGTCGGTTATCACAAACATTTCCGTCGCATCTATATGTCAAAATAAGTCAACACAAAGGCAAAAATATTCATGATAGCATGCATTTGTCTGTTTTCATACACTGCGGACCACGAGACAACGGAGTGTCCATTAAACGCAAAAGAGGTATTACCGACTAATAGTAAGATGATTCTAAATAGTTCTGAGCTAGCTATCAATCAAATTGAAAAAATGGAAGAGTACATCTCGAAATGAGCAAAAATGAAATTTTAAAGATGTCCCGTTAAAAATCAATTTATACATGTAACAATTTATCATACTGAATAACGGAAAACCTTTTATTTACACCGATTTATTCACTGTTTTCTTCGTTCGATAAACAAACATAATCCTAGCCAAGAATCTTTTTTTTCTTTGTCTATTAGAGAAGCGTGATATTTTGAGTATGTGATGCACGTGCACAAGACGCAACGACAATCGATAGCTGATGCTATTGATTCGATTGATCAGACACGTTCGATTCGAATCTCTAGTTGATGTTCACAGAATGAGGAGGCGGAGGGTGATGGAGTTGTAGTCCCGAGAACAGTTGGCGGGTCGACAAACGAACGAAGGACTACCGGTCATGATCCGAATCGAGTGAATAGATTGTTTACTTACGATCTGTGTGTGTGTGTGTACTTTGATGTTGCATTAAGATCAATAGGAAAGCGAGAATGGGACATATGAGTCATGTGTAGACGGGACCGAGCGAGCAGAAAAAATCTTCATTTCAGGAATAGTTCGATTAATTAATCAAACTGAAAGCAATGACGATGACCACCAAATCGATTCAAAGAAGGAAAACAATTTTTACCCCAGCCGAATTTGCAATAGCAGTCCTGGGTGGATTCTTGGTTTAAAATATGATGCCAACAAATTGCCGTTTGTGATGGGATCAAAAGTTTGATCAGAAATTGATTATATTCCACTCTAGAAAATCGGTCAGACTAACAATAGAAAATCACCATTATTAGGAAACATAACTTTGCTTCTTTTAATCAATTTTATTAATGTAAAGCAATCCCCAGGTGGAACAGCTAGCTTTACCCGAAATATTGTCACAAGATTTGACACGGCAATATCATCCTGGCGTGACTATTGTCTTTCAGCCCTGAAATCAGGATCACGGTTATTCGCCTTGATCAAATCTGCCTAAAAAGAACACCCAAGGTTAGTTATAAACTGGCGACAATAGGCGAGCAACACAGTAAATTCGCGAACAGAGCAGATCGGAGATGGAGATCGTGAAACACCCGTCAAATTTTGATAGTTTCTGAGAACTGTATTCTAGGCGTAGTAGAATATTGCAGGTCCATGGATGAGCTACAAGCCGCTCATCTCCGGGTTGTGAATAGAATAACGGCAGCTGGTTGGTTGGTCAACCACACATAAGTAGACATGAGTAAACGGCCACAGATGATCCGCGACGATATCTGAGGACAATGCGCTTTTTCGCCTAGAAGCTGGTGGGGAAAAACCCTGGGACATATGAGATTCTAAACCATCATTAGATAAGGACATCGCTACAACCTTCCAGCTGGCAATCGAATGTGAGAGGGCAATAAACGAGACAGAAAAGATCAAGGTCAAGTCAAGATACACTAAAGGTATTAATTTATACGATAATCCCAAGTGCTTCGTGGAGTAAAACCATAAATCTGACTTATGTTTATCCAGGTGAAAGGAAGTAGCAGGTTTAGGGTGCATTAAGTGCGGTCTAATCACATTTTCGATTCATCGAGATCGAGGGTTATCCAAAAGAGAGACCCATTACACGGTAAGCTAGATGATTGAATCAGTGGATTAGGTAGACATGTACTTCTACTGATTTCTCACGAGTTGAATGAGGCAGTACTCTTGATGACTGAGTCTGATATGTCGACATTTCGAGAAGAAAAAACTGGAAGATAGAATTGAGTGAAACTTAGGCTGCAATCGTAGCCAGAAGAGAGAGAAGATCTGAGGTCACAACAAATGAGTCCCTTTGAAAGCTCTTGTTTTGTTCGAGCGAAAGCTTGCGAACAGAGAAATGAAAAACGGCGATTTTTGATAATGATTCATAATTACGAGCAATGTTGAGGCGCAAAACCAATGATTCACTTACCGGGAGAATAAGCGATGCACTCTATTTGTTCCCCGATTCCGTCCGAATGCGCGGCAATGATTTCATGACGCAAAGCATCAATCACAAGCCATCGACCCGAGGTAGTGCCCAATGCAATCACCGGCTCTCCACTCCCCAGACCGGATGGACTGACCCCGGAAACGCCGGGCGCACTCGGACTGGCCAAGTTCAAATCCCCATTGGGCATGTTGGACCCATAACCGAACACCATTCCGTCCGTGCGGTTCGGGTAGAAAGCAGCACAATGAATGGAATCGTTCAACTCTTTGGCCCAAACAGTTTGTTTGGACAAGGCATCCCACAGAATAACAAGACGATCTTGTCCAGCAGTGAGAAACTGATGCGAGTGAGGATGACGAGCCAGGGCCCAGAATTCGTCCGAGTGACCAAACATCAGGGCACTGAACTCAACATTGGGACCGGTCTATATGCACGCATGGGTGATGCATTGAAGTGTGTTCCATAGAACCGGTGGAAATGGGAGCGTGGATTTTTTGGTGGAAAAAGATGACAGGTTGCAAAACAACGATCACAAAAAAGAACGACAAATCAACTGGTATTGAAAGCGAATTACCATACACTGTATAAGCTGTTTTATCTGCACAATACATTCAAAGAAAAGTCAGTTNTCAGTTAGAACGCACACGCAGAAATAGGACTTTACTGCAAAGAAAATCAACACATGGAAAACAAAATTAAACCATCGTTGAGCAGATTTCATCCTAACTTAAAGAGCGAGCAGATAAAAATGAAGGAAACCCTGGATTTTCCGGAATTGAAGGAATAACCTTTTCACTTCAAAGGCCCAGAACGTTCAGTATGNGCGTGCCGAAACTTCATCTGAAATCCGTCCACCACCATAGAACCATAGAGGCACAGCGTACAATGCATTCACCACTGAATGAGGTCCCTTCGATGAGAAACCTAGATACAGCGGAATCCGGACACCGGTAACACCAGGATCATGGATATCGAATCGCCTGAGTGAAGCGCGATGATATGGTTGTGATAGCTGAAGTGTGATATTGCATGCGTGTTTAAGAGACACAATGTACGTCTACATTAACAGTCTTAAGGACTCTTACTAGAGCAGCTTGATCGCTGATCTGAAGGAGTTTGTGGACAGTGAATGCCGTTAAGCAAAGTGATCCTTGGTTTACGAACCCAGTGGTTTATGATTAGCTAAACTTAATATTCAAAACCTCATCGGTGGGAATTAGCAGGTTTCTTGTGTGTTATGATATTGCGATGACGAACTGGACAGATGAGAAACAGAATTTTTCAAATGGGTGTCTATGACTCCCCGGGGGCCCACATTGACCAGAGAACTCTTCTTTTGGAACCCCGGTTACAGGAATTAACTCAATAGTCTGATTAAAAGGCAGCGGGTTACAAATCACAAAGACGGAGTTGTGAGTGAGGGTCAAGGGGGAAGGGAGCTTCTACAGATCAACCACGACCTCAGAGTTTCGGTTTTGCGTTTTGTTCGCTCATGAGTTGATTATCGGGATGACGTTCCGTATTGACATCTGGCCGCATGCATCCAATATATATCTAGTGATGATAATAAATTTTAACTTCCTTGTTAATTTCAATACACAATGGTAAAAATGTTTTTTAGGTAGGGAGCCGTTGTCTAACAATGCTATTTGGAGACGATGAGTGTTAAAGCCGGGTGGCGGTGGAATTTGAACACTTGACTACAGTGCCGTATTGATGTTGACCAAAACCACTTCAGCATCGCCACCAGGAATAAACAACCCTGTCGGGTATGAGATGAAGATTAAATTGTTTCTCTTTGCCTGGATGGATTTCACCCGAACAGCCTAATTCAACCTGACTAGAATAAAATGGACTAACTAACGACCAAGGATTTTATAGCTGGCATTATTATTTACCGATCTATTGCTATTTGAGTAGTCAATTAGATTTGTGAATACGCGTGAGTTCCACTCGTTTTACGTGGAAACTTGACGATTAAAGGTGTGGGAGATAACATAGCAGAATTTCAAAACCGATCGACATTGCAATCCTCGTTGACCAGCAAGTTGAACACAAGAGCGACTGTCTGAGGGGATCCACTGGCAGTTCGAACCCTGACAACATCACTGAAATATGCTCAACTACATGCCGGCCAGACCGTATGTCGTAGTTCGACATTCCAGCTCTTAGAGCAAAAGATTATGGGTTTCAATAAATCCGAAGAAGGTCATTACGATTGATCAACATGTAATAGAGATCTTTTTCATTTTGCCGATACGGTTACCCTATTTCACGAAGCTTGTCTATGCTACAGGTGAGAGGGGTGATCGATGACGAGTTAGACGGAACGGAGGGAGTAAGCGGATCGGATTTGGCTGTTTGACAAAGCTGAATAACTACACTGAAGTACACAGTCGCCTTCGAAATAATGTTTCATCATTTCGATAGTGCAACAGTGCCGGAGGCAGATCGATGTGAAACAGTCCATTTCCGGCGAAAAACTTGGTGTTGGCAACCAACGGAACTGAAGTCATCGGTAAAAATGCTAGAAGACAAATAGTCGGTGCACACCTCGAAAGTGCAATGGGCAGCCAGTAGACCAAAAAATTGAAAAAACCAAATCGCCTATCGATAAATATGGTCAGAGGAAATAAAAATCCCATCTTCCTACTAAACGTGCAAATTTTCCGGTGCAAAATACCTAACCGAACACATAAATTCGTAAGAGCAATTCTGGAAAAGAGCCGACATTGAGAGACGAAAAACAATTAGGACAAACTACACACCTGTAGAATTGTATTCTTTGTCGTGCCTATGAGCAGCATTTCGCCCGGGCCCTGAGTAATGGTTCGGACAGATCCGTGCAATTCGGGTAACTCTTTCACCTCTCCGGTCGGATTCAACGCGGCATCGAAGAACACAATACGCTTGTCTTTGCCCCCACCAGATATCAGATGACCGTCTTGTGTGACACACAGGGAGAAAATGCCACCCTCGTGGACAGATTGACAGATTTGGCTGATTGTATTCGTGCCTTATTGGGTGGGTTTCGAGGGGAAAGGGAGTAGAAACTTTAGTGAACTTTTCAAATGATATTGGAATGAATACTGGGCGTGGTAATCGGTAATGAAAAGGCTCGGTACACACCGCACATATCCCAGGTTTGAGCCAGCAACGCATTTGTTTCAAAGTTCATTACTGTGGTCTGTGCAGTTATGAGGAGTAGGTTGAGACGTATTAATGAACAACGAAGTGAGCAAATAGACATCTCGGTTTTTCTTTGTGAAAAAACGATTTCTTGCAACACCAAACAATAAAGCGTGACAAGTCATGGTCTAAAAGTTGACGAAATCACTTTCTCCATCTGGCTACTCACTAGATATGATCTAATTGGAGCTGGGGCTCGAAGCTAAAATTCAATTTAATCTAAGTAAGGTCAATTCTTCAATTATTGTTCATTATTTTCACCCTAATAGTATGTATACTAAATAGGGGAAGTAAAAATGATTTCTTACATAGAAGCAACTGTTCGGTGTCACAGAACAGAAGAAATAAACATCTTTTTGCCATAAATAAGTGAGTACGGTAAAATCGAGAAAACCCTCAGTCTGAGAGCAACTTGTGTGAGGCGGACACTCAAGCTGCAACCAGGCTGTGGATTCCGCAATGAATGGTTGTAATACAGCAAGTTGGGGGAACGAAAGAAAAGAAGTGTCGCAGTTATTAGCGAATGGATGTCAGAGATCGGAAGTATAACAACTGTGTGCAGCCACTTGATACGGGTACTTGTGTACGCTTGTTTCATGGAGGGGGATTGTCGTCGAAAGAGGATAAATCTAAGGGAGGTTTTAGGAGTGTCAAAGGTAAGCCGGTTGCGAAAACCCCAGGCCGAAATAAAACTGAGTGAGAGAAACTTTTGTTTCTCGTTGCGTGTGTGTGTGTGTGTATATGATAACCCGAGAAACCTAACTTAACAGGTGAAAATTTGAAGTGAGCTACTTAATCAAGGCATGCAGGGGTAACAAAACCTATCGATTGATAACCCTCTGACCAAACCCTTGAGAACACCCAGTTCTAACCCTTTAGGAGAAAACAAGTACAGTTCCTGCCACACGGTTACTTACCACGTCTCCAGACTAAAATGTTCCCGGACGAATCCCCTGTGATCAGATCTCCATTCTCAGCGAAAGCCATGCACAGAACGAATTTCGGTTTCTCACACGTAACTTTGCCCGTCTGAATTGCGGGAAAGATAATAAAGGCGATATGCACACACAGCACATGAAGACAAACAATGATATTCATAAACAGCTATGAATTTGAGTGCAATCACGAACTTGGCTGAAAATGCACGATTTCATGAGCCTTCCTAAAAAGGTAAAGATTCCAATCCCAATTCATGGCTTCCTACATGCAACGAGTGCTTATACATAAACGCGTATGCGGAAATCGATCGGTAATCACCTGAAAAGTCATCGGAGACCACTAAAGAAGTACTGAACTCGATAATGTGTGTGTACATCATCTAAAAGTTTATCAACTATAATAGTCACTGATCCGAAATTGCGAAAGGTTATACGGAAAACATAGACAATAAAAAAGCACAACTTTCAAATGGTTTGTTTTGAATATGACTATTCTCTAAATTGTTTCCAGTATGCAGAATACACCCAGTAGTTATCCATAATCGAGTAGTTAATCGAAAAAGCCAAAATCACCTGCATTAAACACATACAACATTCATTTTATACTTCTAACCAGAAATCGAATGCTCATTTTAGCACTGTATCTGTCAAGATTCGTACATCAAGAGGGACAGAAAACGCGGCACGAGCTGACTTGTGATCGAAATTGGAGCCGGTGATTCAAGTTAAGCAATTCACCACCTAAGGTCTCGGTTTCAGACAGTGAGGTTTTACGCGGGGACGTATATCAGTGTCTACCTCCATAACAGTGTTACGGTCACTCATCACGCAGCTGATTGAGTAGGAGAAGCAATCCACTAGAACTCCTGTTCAGCTAGTTTTAAACCGAGACTAGACGATACCCAGTCTTGCTGTATCCCTGCAAGGAAAAGATCAAAAGAAACGAAAGAGTTAGTCAGTCTGTCAAATGTATTCCGCGCGTCCCGCATTTGTCTTCGCAGACGGACTATGCATTTAGCGAACTCCGAGTTAAACAGAATTTACCCAGCCGCCCATTCAAGACCAACATTTTGCAGACCACTGCGTACGTTCTGCAGTTTTTGATCAACGTCAAAATTGAACAAGAATAGCGAAAGGGGCCTCGTTAGCGAACACTTCTGCTGATGACCGGTCTAACTAGATCGGTACGGAATTTCGCAAGACCGAAAATATGTGAATTTCGTGGCCTTACAATGATTTTCCTGGGACATTCGTATTTGTGATACCTCCAAAATCCTCAGTATGGTCAGGAGTGTGTGTCTAGGGTTACGGCTGGTCACCCGACCCTTGCAACTCGCAAAATGCTCCCATACGACCAAGCGTCTCGAATAGCCTCTGCTGAGGAAGCCCTACTCACTACCGCCTTCCCGTGGCGTTGTTTTCCATTAGAGTGAGGCGACAAAATGCCGACATTCGGGGCTATAATCGGGTTGGTGAACCACTGGTAGTTCCCATATGGCAGTTGGCCAAAAACCTTGATTCCAAACCAACCAAGAGGAGGCGTACGAACCATACACACAACTTCCTGGTTGTGGCAGTGGTCACCGGCTGGATTGGGAATCGAGGTGTCTTGGGCACCTTGGACGTTTGATCCGGTCCTAAGGGCGTATGATCCGATGAACTGGACACCGGCCCTTAATGAATTGCGGTTTTCGCACACCGCTCCGCTGCCTTGCGGGTCAGGCTGTGGCTAGCCAAATGCTACGGCTGTGGATTCCTCAAGAAAATTCACCTGCTTCGGTATGGGCAGTCTGGCAGTATTCGGCCCACTTGCAAATCGTGGAGCGTTTTTCTTTTTTGAAAGATTATTGTACCACGATTTATTTGACACACAGTCTGGCATCAGACGTGTGTGAAATATATAAATATATATGTATTTGAGACGGGAACCTAAGAGAGCCTCGCAGTACACTGAGTCATAAGCTCCCTGTACTGCTATCCACAAGCATACTACCCACTCGGTCACCGGGCAGCTAATCAGACCATTGCTCATAAAAAAGTAGTCAGATTGTGAACGTTTCCAACCGAATCCTATCCCCGGAGGCTAGTGCTGAGATGAGCGCGACACGAAGCCGGCAACGAGCTCGCACAGATGGGTTATGCTATATCGTGTATATTCAAAATGAGAAACGGTCTGATCAGGTGACTTGTGGTCGAGTGGGTAGCATGCTTGTGTTCTACCTGTGAGGTCCAGGGTTCGATCCCCAGTTGGGTCGTGGGATCCACACTGCTGATGAGACCCAACCAGGTAAAACCAGCTGTCCAATGCTTCCTAGTTTTCAGTCCGTGCTTCATTTGCTATATACACGACGAATTCACCTTTGAAATTAATTATTATTGGGAGCCATGGCACTCTCATTCAGAACCAACTGGGAGCAGGTGTACGAACCACGCCCAACCGCACATGGTCGTGGTAGTGATCACCGGCTCGATTGCACACCGAGGTGTATTGGGCACCTTGAACATTTGGCCTCGTCCAAAGGGAAAATGC